GAGAGAGAGAGAGAGAGAGAGAGAAAGAGAAAGAGAAAGAGAAAGAGAAAGAGAAAGAGAAAGAAATATTCGGGTAACTTCAGTTGTGTTGGGAGATCAATAGGGCTTTAAAATTCTATATTTTTTTAGTAGAGGGTTTTATGGCGCTCACAACTGCATACGGTCATATGAGCGCCAAAATAGGGCTTTACGTTGGTTCGGTTTGATGGCCTCTTTACTCATAGGAGATAGGGGCTCTTAAAGAATGGGATTGTAAAATATTTACTATATTTGCAGAAGAATTGTGTAGGAAGTCGCATTTGCATAGTGAACAATATCAGCAAGCTCATTGTAAATAACTTCAGTAAATAGCATATAATAACTGTATTATTTTTCTGTGCAACGCTTTAGATGCCATCGTGTTATTTATTTTCTTCCATTTTGCACTTGTTTCTTTTCTTTTAAAAAAAATTCTATTTTTACTCTTCGCCGCTTCAGTCTAAGTATGCTTTTCCTGTTCTTCGGGATCTCGAGGTGCGGCCATCTCGTCACGGGCAACTGGATTTATGCCCGTGTTACCAGAGAGAATGCAACAGGTCGGAGCTGTCAAGTGTGTCCTGGCTGTGTGTGTGTGTGTGTGTGTGTGTGTGTGTCGTGTGCCTGCAGAAAGGGGCGTTTTCTCGTATGGAAAGAACGAATGTTCTCCTGCTTTTAAGGATCCATATTGTTTAGATTGTTTTGTTGAATGAGGTGAGAATAAAGTAACGTAAAGTGGTTTCTTTTCCCTTTGATTCAAGCATGTTCCTATTCTTCAACGGTTCCGGGTAATAGTTCAACTTTCCACTGGGGACTGTGGCGTTATTGTTAGTGATTTCCCTTTGGATGCGCAACAATACGTCAGTTCGATTCTTACACGGGGAAGGTATTTCATTGAGTATTTCCGTCTTTCTGATGGGATGGTGCACCCCATGCAGGCTTGGTTTGCTCTGACCAATAGGACCTAATTTATATCCGCGAGGGCGTAAAATATTTGCTTTTTACTAATAATATCATTGATGTTGTGATCTCGGGTCTTGACTGCTGCTGTGGTTCATTGATGTCTATCGTGCTAGTAGATAATTTCTGAACACAAGTTTGATTCAAACAAGCGAGCAATCAATCAACAACAACAACAACAACAACAACAAAAGTATACACAGTTTTAGGATGGGTCTGTATTTAGACGCCTCTTGCAAGATTGTACAGTTTGGTTGTCGTATTTGTGGGGTATACCACCGTGCCATAGGAATTCGAAGTTCGATGCATTCTTACTTTGCTCAAATAGACAAAAACGATTTGAAATGGGAATCTAGTTTGATTTGTATCACAACAGAGGGCGGAATTATGCTTGGACAGTCTCTACGTTGTATGTATTCACACAGACATGTTAACAGAATGTGTCTGTGGTGTAACGGTTATAGGCGCTTCACTGTCGTGCTCAGGAGACCCGGGTTCAATTCCCGAGTGAGAAGTGGAGAAAACTTTTTGACGAATATCTCTGTCTTTCTGTTGGGATATTGTATCCCTCTTAGCCCGAGTTGGAACTGACAGGCAGGATTGTTAACCCGCCCCCTAAATAATCTAAATCGTGTCTATGGGGTCGTTAAAAGGTTAATTTTTACTTATGCACCCACACACAGATGCATTGATTTGAGGGCTAAACTGCCATAATTTTTGCTGTAGAACACACGTATGGCCACTAAAATCCTTGCAAATCAATTGTTTTCAAGATCATGTATATTTCAATCCTAAATGCCAAAACATCAATTTTTTGTGAAAAACAGGGGGGGCTGAAACCCCCATGTTGTTAAAATCAAGTCAAATATTACTATTTTCAAACACCAATAACTCAATGACTATTTATTTGCGGCAAAAATGAAGGCAATATTTGTATTCAGCATGCAAAATGCTACTAGAAAAATAGTAGAAATATAAAACGTGTACATGAGACGGGTGCATGAGTAAAAGAAACCCCGTTAAAACACCTGCATAGAAAATAACAAGTTCTCGATTATCGCATTCTGAACGCACGTTTTGCTGACTAAAGCAACCGGTCCCATAAAATGTTCATTTAAAACATCTGCTTGCAAGGACCATGACTTTTATGTGTCTTTCCTGAAATAGATCAGTATTTGATGATGATGATGATGATGATGATAATAATAATAATAATAATAATAATAATAATAGACTACATTTATTACACTCTAACCTAAACAAGTTTAAGCTCTGAACACGTATTTTTGAAAGTAGTCTAAAAAAACGTTTACTGTTCAAAATTTGAAGCGTACTCGGAATTCTTCGTGCTGATTGATTGTGGCCACTAAATTCCTGACAGTAAAAATACATGACAGTTAAGCACACCTGACTTTTTTATGCGTCTATGCTTCGAGGATACGGTTGACTTATTCGACTCTGCAGGGCTGAACCCATTTACATTACAAAAACTGTTGTCCCCGATGGATATGTTTTTCAGTGGAAAAGGAAATTTGGATTAAAACGAAGATGGAAACTCAAGTAAAGAGAAAAGATACTTCGGTGAGTATATTTTACTTGTTTTGATTCTTAACGCAAGTTTACATTTCCTCTCCGGTTCGATGAATTCTGTGGAGTTAGACCAGCTCTTCTCCTCCTACTCCCCTTCCTCCTCTCTCTCTATCGCCCTCTCTCGTCTGTCAAAGTTCTTTTTTCCAACCGA